TTTTTTTTTTTTCAGTGCTTCCTCGTGCTGGCCTAGATGCTGTTTGAATGTGCTGCTGTGGAGCCAGCTCAGAATAACTGTGCTGAGGGAAACTTCCCTCTCAGGTGGGCAACCATTCTGTTCTGCCATGAAGGCACCAGCCATATCATACAAGGACCAAATGAGACCTTTGGGCTTCCCCCCAAACTTCCTTCTCTGGGCACTGTAGGAGGAAGCAGTGATTTCCAGCTCCTCCTCCTGTACTGTAGGACTCAGAAACCAGTGCCCAGGAGGTTTCTTGATGAAGATTGGAACAAAGCATCTTTTGATTCTTTGAAAAAGCTGCAAGGCTGCAGAGAGTACACTCTCATATGAAGGGGAGGCAGCAAATGTAATTTCTGATAATTACCCCAAACTATTTTATTGTCAGGACTACAAGCAGATTTTGGGATACCATTTTTGCACTAGACTGGGTTTTTCTCTTGAACATCGTCTCTTGTTTCTTTCATCTTTTGAGGGTTAACTCTAAAGCAGCCTAAGTAAATCTTCCATTCTTCTAATTTGCTTAATGTCAGCAAGATTTTGCTACTTCAAGCCCTTTTATTTAAGAAGCAAAAAAGGAAGGTTAAGGGATAAAAACCTAGTTGTATTAATACTTTGCATAAGCTTCAGATATGAGCATGGCAAACATGGATATACTTGTCAGGACAGGGTGTGGTAAAATTGGGACAGCTTACAAAAAAAGAAGTAATGCTTTCTGGAAGAGAGGTGAGAAAATGTCCATATGGGAGAAAAAAAGAATGTAAATCTGGAAAAACAGTGCAAACCCAAATGTGTTTTACATAAATTGGGTCCATCCTCACTCATATTGAGGTCAACAATAGACTAATTGGTGATACAAAATATATTTCTATGCTTTCATGTAATATTTTTCCTTCACTGTTTTTCTAGTTTGCTTCTTACTTATTTGTTTGATGTTTTCAAATGGAAAAAACCCTAGGGCACTAGTCTGTAAGAACAGGGGAGCGGGCATGTAACCCAGGTCTGCAGTCAAGAGCTCAGTGTATATTGGTCTGAGTTTACACTGTTCTGTGGAAAGATCCTACAGGCAGCATCTTTCTCTCTCTTTGAACTGCATTTAAACAATCAAGGGCTTTTTAAAGTGCTTTCTGATGTGTCCTCTATGGATACCTAATACGCTTTCTTTTCAGTAAGATACAATCATTAGAGAAGATTTTCACAAAACTGTTTTTACAGAAAAATAGGTGGCTGAGGCAAACAATTGCACAAATAAAAGCATGTATCATAAAAGCTGTCGAAGAGAGGGTCATTTGATCTGCTCTTACCACATTTATGATAAACAACAAAACTATTTTGGAAGTTGTTTTTGTAAATTCTCCTCGTGCCCAGCAGTCGCATGCAAAATTTTATGATGCGTACATATTTTCACTCTGTTCATAAAAGATTAAAAGCAAAATCATAAAAAACTATACAGCAGTCTACAAGTTGCAGGTTTGAATTTCTGACCTGAGTCAGAACTAATCCTTTGGTTGTTCAGTTCACTATCCTTCTATCAAGGTGGTTTGATTCCTGCTTTCAGTGTACAAATGATCCAACTCTGTTCTCCCCTACCACAAACTTGATTGTTTCTTTCTTTTCTTAAATCTACTCATCTTCAGAGCACATAGAAATCCACTGATTATAGAAATGTGCAAAGAAATGTTCCGAGTAATGGAATTACAAGACAAAATAAATGTTGCACAACGGAGAGATGTCAAAAGGAAAGATGACTCTCTTTACTGCAATCATGTATATCTAACAAAATGTAATTTAATTATGAGACAGATTCTGCTCTTCTTACACACATTGAATTGTCCTTTATTCTGGGAGTGATACTGTCTGATGCACCTCTTTCTCCTTACCTTATACAGACAGTGTCCTACCCCAGAAGTAAATAGAGCTGCTGAAATCAATGGAGCATCCCACAGAGATACTATTGATTCTGAACACATGTAAAAAAAAACGGTTGTGCTTCAAGGAGGAAATGTCAGCCTCAAGAAAATCAATAAATGTTTTGCAAGTGATGTCAATAAGGACAAAACTTCACTCATAGCATTAGTTCATACAACAAAATATGCACAACTTTAACACAGTTGCAAACTAGATTGCATTTTAATTATTGATTAAGCAGGCTGCATTTTAGGACCAAATGGCAGATGTCTGAAAAATGTATAGTATGGACATACTCTCAGACCAAATTGAAAACATCAAGATGTCCACATGCTACACAGGCTCTGGCAGAAGCACCAGAAATTAAATTGAATGTATTAACTTACCAGTAGAAAATTTTCATTATTTCATTTGCTTCAGTTTGTAACTGTAGGTTTCCTTGGCATTCCAATTGTTTTCAGCAAAATTTTTCCTTACTTTTCAGTAGGATAGTTGAATTAGATAAAATGGTTTGTTGGAGGATGTTTCTCTAATTCTTAATTGGACAGGGAGAGCAGCAATGCCTTTGGCAGTAAAAGTCCTTACTTCTGTTGTTCCCTTATCTAATGTTCTCAAAAGTAAAATCTTGCAGACAGCTGTTTTTTCCTAATCTCTCTTTAGCATTGCCATTGGGTACAATGAAACTTTAAGTCTTTTATTGTGCTGCTTTTAGTGGCTAAGTGCCCTTTTCTCATACAGGCAAGACCTGGAGCAACAATCTTGCCAAATGGAGATGCATAAGTAAAGGGCTATCTTCTTTATACTTTCTCCTTTGCTTGAAAATCCAAAATCTCTGATGCTGATTTAGCTCAAATTAATCCAATAATTTGGTTAGCTAATAATCTATTTGACCTGGCTGCAGACTAATTTAAAAATTAGTTGATAACCTAGCTATTTGATTACCAGATTAGTTAAAAATCTTGTTGAGGCACATCCTTCGCTTCCAGATTCAGCTTCTTTTTCTGTCAGAACCAGTTGCATTTTGCATACTGCTTTTGCTGTTCTCTGTCACAGCAGTCACAGGAAACAGCACTGGCATCTGTACAACAGTTTTATACTTTTTCTCACTGTTTTTCTGCTGCAGGGTTTAGGATGTGTTTTTCTAGGGATCTGTGGTGAACTGGCCTGTCATGACTGGAAGCAAACTATCCTAAAGGCACGCACTTGAGCTCTAGCCCTTGTGACGCTTCTGCTTGATGGATACCCACCTGACACCCTCGTGTTTTTTTAGAGGAAGCACTTCCCTGTGGGATATGGGGCAGGGAGCCAGGCTATGGTCCCTGCTGCTGTGCTGGGGTCAGTAAAGATGCTTCAGTCCTCTTCTCTCCCAGGAAGGGGAAAGTGGTTGTTGGGAATGGGAACCACGCCTGTATCCGGCAGAGCCACAGCCACCAGCCCTGATGACTCTAAGGAGAAGGAGGAAGAAGAGGAGGAGAAAGAGACAGAGGCAGTGTCAAAACTGCAGAGAGCAGCAGGGAGAGGAGGAAGGAAGGAAGATGCTTGCTGGAGATTTTCTTGGCTTTTTAATTATGCTCTGCTCTCTCATCAAGGCTGGAGTCACACTCCTAAATCTTGTTTTGTAGTCGCTCCCTACCTCCAGATGTTGGGTCAGTGTCCAGCTAATGTTAAAGAAACTGTAAATACTATCTGTGGTTTCTCAAGTTCCTTTTTGCTTCGCCAGGGAATTGCCACATGCTTAGGAGCAAAAACATGGAGTAGGACCACCCTGGCTTCCCATTCAGTGAACACAAGTGCATTATCCTCCATGCCAAAATGAGCTGTAGCACACCATAGAGCACAATCGTGCATATAGTTACTTGATATCACATAGCCCATAAGCAGACAGAATAACTCTGCTATTCTCATGTCCTTGTGAATCAAGTCTCAGGAGACAGACAGAATTGGACTGAAGAACAGTGCACTCTCCCACCTCAAAATCCATCCAGTGTACCCAGGTACCTGAAGGTGGTGCCTGAGAAGAGCAGGCTCTGGGAGCTTCCACACTTCCTCGCTCTTAGTACAGAAAAAGAGCTAAGACTCATTTTGGAAACAATACATAGATAACATCATTTATTTGGTTTAATAAGCATAATGAAAAGAATGATGATTTTTTTTTTTCCTGAACAGATAATATTATACAAAGAATTGCAAGCCATTTTATACCAATGCTTTCTCAACTATATTTAATTTTAATTTCCTCCTGACTAGGAAACGTCTTAATGTGTTTGCAAGTTCTTTTGTGACTATTCTTTGTTGCATTGATCTGATACATTTGTCTGATCTTTCCCTCTCTCCATTGGTCTAATACACCTCTCATATTTATCAAAGTTAGAAGATACTCCACAAAAGTGAATTGACTTAACTGCTTAAAAAAACCCCAAGGTTAAGTCCTGTGCCTTTACTAATTTTAGCTACATAGGGGCTTTACTAAATTTTTTTTCTACATCTCATTCTTTGCAGTGAAGAACATGCTTGAAATCCCCTCTACCTCTGCCCACTCTGTGCTGGCCCAGCAATTGCATGCCAGGTTTTTTAAAGGGTTTACTGATGGTCCTTGACTACTCTTAAAAATATTTAGAAATAAATACTTGCATTCCATATGGGTGGAAAAAAACCAAGATACTGCCTTTGGTATAGAGCTTACTCTCATCCTTTTCTTACCCTGTCCCTATGGCTTAAGACAATGAATGAAAAATGGAAGCAAAGATTTGAAGTCCTGGCTGACTAATTTACTATTTTGGTGGTCAGTGGATAAAGGTATTTGGCTTCTTGGAAAGCATGCAAAAGCTTCAGGTTAAAGATAATCTGTATAAAATGGGATTTTTGTGAGCTGCTTTCCTTCAGGAGGATGATATATATTTTGTTTTGCTTACTGGCAGTTTTAAAAAGCTTTCCTGAATTTAATTAGAAATATGAATGCATTTAAGATGCAACAGAATCCACATATACCCCACTCATGTAAATGAATGAGGAAACAAAGTTTTTTAATGTTTAGACTTTATCTAGCCAACCCACATCAGATATGAAGGTCCAAAATAGATAACTTTATTGTAGAATGCTAGTGTTGATTTTCTACACACATTTGAAAAGTTTCCAGCCTTTTCTACTAACATCCGATGATAATATTCTGGAAAATGTAGTTGGTCTGTCAGATATCTCTGGAATACAAATGGATTTTTCCTGATGCTTATGGGGAAGAGTAAAAATATGTGGGTTTCACGTTACCCAAGATCTGATCTTCATAATTAGGAAGGCAGCAGAAGAAGAATCCCAGGCATATTTCCATAATAGCAGTGGTCCAGCCAAAGCCATAGGCCCAGCTGAACATATTGATTCCTGTCATATCAATTTCAGTTGAGAACTTCACTGGATAAATGACCAGGCCCATGATGGAGAACACAGCTGAAGAAACAGGAGAAAAAAAAAAATGTTTAGGCTAATACCTATCCCATTGCCCACCTTCCTCATAACTGTAGCTAAATCCACCCATGTTTTGAAGGATTTGAAAACTGATCCACTGCCATGGTAATCTTTATATTATTTTTCATAAGCAGCTCAAGTGCACACAGGCAAAGACTTGGGTATAGAATCAGAGGAGGGAAATACCAGTTCTATTATAATTATAGCTGCACAAGCTAAATTTGACTCCATGTACTGCCTTACCAGCCACAAACAGCAAGCCTCCAATCCCACGTATGAAGTTGAACCGAAGTGTGTCAATAGCAAATGCTATGATGGCCAGAGCAAAACAGATGACTAGAAGTATAAAGCCAACCAGGTATGTGGCAGCAGCTGCTCTTCCCCAAGCTGAAATCAGAAAAAAAGATACATTAGAAAAGAACAAAAAAATTCCATGCAGTGTTTTTCTCTGCTGCCTAATGAAAGGCTAATTTGAAACAAAGGTGAAAAGAAGACCAGCTCCCAAGAAGAAAAGCATGGGAGCTTTCTCTCCTCTCATAGGTGAACATTTTATTTCACAAAAAATCATTCACTAAGTGCAGAATGCATAAAATCACCAGCTTTGACCTATCATACAGAATGCTTGCATACAAGCTTCCACTTTACATTTAACAATTAAGAATTGAAACTAAAATGATTGTAAAGATGTAAAAATGGACACTCTCCTTCAATAGCAAATGTAATTGCATCAACAGATGCCATAAAACCAGCATCATTTTGCATAGACAAAGAGAATTAGACTGTCCCTGAAACAAATTAAATTCTTCCTTTTTTAAAAGTGTTTATACAAGCACTACCACTCTGGCATGCAAATTCAAAGGTATGGCAATAGTCCATACATGTCAAAATTCAGTAGTTTCTGCCTTTTCAGCCTTTGTTTAGGTCTGTGTCCTAAATAGAGATAAAGGTTTGGAATCTGTTTTGTAGGGAAATTTGACCTCTGCTTTTGATCCAAAGTCAGAACCGTTTCAGTTTGAAAAGCTTGTTCAGGATATTAATACTTTCATTTTCAAATTATATAATTTTATGTTTTAACATGTCAGAACAAAGCATACTCTGTTGGCAACGATAGGGAAAAATATTATTTATTCAATATTTTAAGTCCTGAAGGGCAACTATGGCTCAAAGAGACTGAGGTGTCTCCTTGTGGGTGTAAAAAGCCCATTCTGACTCTTTTAAAATTGTGTATATAGATGGAGTAGGCAGTCAAAGCCTGCTGGGCCTCACCCCCTTGCCTACACTATGGGTTTGTAAAGTGTCAGCTTCTAGCCAGATATATACAGCAGCAGTGCTGAGAAAATACCACAGCCCAAACAACCCTGCTGATAATTACAACTCAAACACAATGCGCAGTGTTCAGTAGAAGTTCCCTCTGGAACTGAATAAGTGAAGATTTTTGATACCCAGTAACCTACTAATTTGTTTGCTTTCTGCATGGAAGTAGTAAAATGCCAAGTATCCAGCCTCCCCACTGGCAAGTGTAGATAGGCTTGAAAGCCACTATCCCATCCCTGATGAATTGGCACCTTGGTGCTCAACCACTCTTCCCCCAGGCCCTACACCACCTCTGCTATTAGACTAGAAAAATGATTAGAATTTTTCAGGTCTACTTTTCTTCCATCAGCTCATCAAAACAAATTTCCTCATCCCTGTTTTATGATCCCTATTCCATTCTATCTATTGCACTGTAATTTCAGTTTTATATCATGTCCTTGTTCTTCCTTATGCCGAAAAGTTTCTGTCTGCTTATAGGGCTTTTCAACTATATTATTTTTCCTGTAAATAGGCTAGCTGCCTGACAAGACAAAGATGTGCCTACATCTCATTTTCTACCCAGAATTTTAGCCCAATCTCCTCTTTGTGAGTTTACAGGTGCCTGAGAGGTAAAGTACACAATGTTGAAGTGCAGGTGGGAGGGCAGCACCTCAGGCACAGTATCAAAGGCTGAGTATCAAAGGCACCAGCCAGGAAAAGGAATTTCTCACACTGTCACAGCTCAATCTATTTCTGCTGAGGATGCTCCTGCTCCCAGCCTGTCTGCCATCCCTCTAAAATAGCATAAAAAAAAGTAGCACCTGGCCTCAAGAGAAGTTGCTCGAGCAGTGGTGACCTCACTGCTAGTGGATACAAGAGTTACAACTTCTGACAGAAGGGTGAAATGACAAGGACATCTCGAGGTGATGGGATTTGTTAGGTGCGCAGCTGGTTGTGGTTAGGTGCAAAACTCCCAGGCAAAGGAATGTTCTTTCCTAGATCAGACTCAGAGCACAGCTGACCACCCAGGAAGTGCTGAAGCACCATGAAACCTGTGGGTTTTGTCTCACCAGCTGCCAGCACCGCTGCTATGGGCAGCAAATGGTTTGCCAAAGCTCAGCCTTGCTTCCCAAGAGCAGCTGGTGGCAGAGCACCATCCCCAGAGGTGGGAGCATTGCCCAGGGGGGGAGGTCAGGGGACAGTGCAGTAGCACCTTCTCCATGACTGTGTCTCCTTCTGCTGGGCTTGCCCAGGTGTTTTTCCTGAAGTAGTGTTGCAAATGCTGTGGCTGCACCAAAGCAGATTGGGTGCACACCCAGCCTGCCGGGCACTGGCTGTAAGGCAAGAAGAGACATGCTTCTTGCAGGATGCTCCCATCTTTAGGAGGCATTGCTTAATCACCCAACGGCTAATTTTTTGTAACTCTCACTTCTACAAAAGAGAAAAAAAGTTAATTTGATGCTGCCCTGGTGAGACCTCACCTAGAGTAGTGTGTCCAGTTCTGGACTCCCCATTTCAAGAGGGACAGAGATCTACTAGAGAGAGAGTCCAGCGAAGGGCTACGAGGATGACTGGGGGACTGGAACGCCTGCCCTATGAAGAGAGGCTGAGAGACCTGGGGATTTTTAGTCTGGAGAAGAGAAGACTAAGGGGGATCTAATTAATGTGTATAAATATATGAGGGCTGGGTGTCAAGAAGAAAGGGGCAACCTCTTTTCACTTATGCCATACGATAGGACGAGGGGCAATGGACACAAGCTGGAGCACAAGAAGTTCCACCTCAACATGAGGAAGAACTTCTTTGCTGTAAGGGTTACAGAGCACTGGAACAGGCTCCCCAAGGAGGTTGTGGAGTCTTCTTCCTTGGAGACTTTTAAGACCCATCTGGATGAGTTCCTCTGTGACCTGCCCTAGATTAGATGGTCCTGTAAGTAGGGCAATGGGATTACATGGAAGAGTCACTACAGGGTGGGGGCTGAGGAACAGCACTGTAACTTCAGCCATCTTTCACAAAAAGTAGCAGTTATCAGTAGTCTAAGACCATTGTGTGCAAACATCTTACCTTTCTAGGGTAAAAGGTAGCAAAAGCTTTGTGTAGGAATAATTGCAAATGTTCCTATATCTGAGATGTTTATTTTTCTTTTGTGCTGGCCAGAAGCACGAGAGTAGCTTAATGTCTTCACCAACAGAACTAAGATTTACAATTCCTTAAAAATGCCAGAATTAGAAGAATTAAATTGGTCGATAAACACTGACAAGTGGGTGGCTAATCTGGCCCTAGGTATTTTCTTATTTTCCATTGTTGTGAGTTTTTTTTGCTTTAACATAAAGCAAGAGCATAAATAAATTTTTCTAACTGCAAAGCTTTTTCTTAAAAATGTGAACTCCGGGCCAAAGAGTCATCACAGGTACAACATCGGCTCCAAGTACACTTGACTCTAGTTCACCTTTCACCAAATAAAAAATAGGAACAGAGGGAGCAGCAGGCATCAAGCTGAGTCTGTAAAAACATTCAGCAATTTGTGCGATCTGTTTTCTCAGCCCACTAAAATGGCAGTGATGTTCTGACTGCTTAAGAGTTAAAATGTGCTTGTTAGGAAAGAAAGGAGTGTTTATGCAAGACTGTCCTTGAATACCAGCAGGATCCTGTAACACTTGTGTGCCAGTCCTCTTTCTCCATTTTTCAGCTCCTCTGTGAGATGAAGGAACACCAATAAACATTATGAAAGGGTTTGTAGGAAGCCACACACCATCTGCTCTTGAAAGCTCCTAGCTAAAACAGGCAAAAGGAACCCATGTTTTCATGCCTATCTCAAGCAGAGCAAGGGCAGTGCTTCTATTTGTGGTGTTTTGTACGTCAATCAACAATGATTTGTGAGAGTCTAGACTACCCGCAGTGAATGCAGTAACAATATGTGACTGTAGGAAAATGAAAGTAAGTACCTGTCTTCTAAAATTCCCTGCTGTGTGAGCAGACCTCTGAACTAATTTAGGGACCAGAAAGAGCCCACCCATGCCAATACAGAGTTCACTGTAGCTTATGAGCAAGATAATTAGCTGAGACAGTATACAATGATAACAAAGCTTTATTACTCTGCTATTAAAGTTATCTCAGTTTAAAGGTAGCATGACTACCTCTTGTATTGCACCATCTAAATACATCCTGAATATCCTACTGCTGACTGCAGCCATAGGGAAGCTGATGGACCTCAGAGTTCCAGTACTAAGTGTCTCCAGTTTCCTCCCTTCCTGATTTTACTCCCTCATGCATTTTCCAGTTTGCAGAAGTGTAAACTCTGTCTTTCACACATAAGGAAATAAATTTCCTTGCTCAACAGTAAATTGAGCAAAAACTTTCAGTGACCAGATCTAGTCTTCCCTTAGACTGACGTGTCTCATGCTCCAAATGGTGCCTTCAAAAAAGAGCTGTCATGCCTTGAAAATAGCATGTGAAGTCCACTTCCCCCATAACAAATACAAATTTCTGTATTTCTGATGTATGTGGTTTAAAACATTGGACAATATTCACAATTATGTTATCACATTTTTCTTGATCTGGTACCCCTAAACCACGTACTATTGAGTCTCCCTTTGGGTGACATTTTCTGAAAGCAACCTCAGAGAATTCAGAAGTACTTCTCCTGGTGTAATCAATATGAACATGTTTCTTCAAATTACACTAAATACAGAACTAGCAATGGAAAGGAAAACAAATTTTTATTGTCAGCTTGCAGACACCAACAACTATCTACAGGTTCTTGCTGACTGATCATTTTAACACATCAGCCACTGCAGTGAATTGTGCAGCAGTTTTAGGAAGGATAGTTTTAATTCAAAAGAAACAGGGAGGAGGGTAAAGAAAATGTAACAGACTAATATTTTGCTCTGTTATCTTTCATACCACCAAGGGAAAGAAACACAAACCCTGCAGGTCTAGCTCTGGTTTCTAAAATCTGCCATGCTGGTGATTCATATCTGTGTTATATGTAATGGGAGTGTTTCTAGGCTGAGTTTGCAGAGCTCAACCTGTTTTACATCTCTCTGATTA